TGTGACAAAGGAAGGGTTTGGACTAACCAAAGTAGATGTGCAGATTAATTTGCATTACTTGATGCTTCAGAATTTGTCGAAGGTCAGACCAAAAGGCAGATGGACCCCTCATGTTATCAAGAGTGTCAAACTTAATTTTGATGGGAGCTCTTTAGGAAATCCAGACCCTTCTGGGGTTGGAGGAGTTTTGCGTGGTGCTGATGGAGAGGTGTTATTTTGTTTTACTGGAGTATGTGAGGACGTAACGGCTAATGAAACAGAATTGGCTGCATTAGAATGTGGAATTTGGCTTCTATGGCAGAAAAACATCAGGATGTCATGTTTTGTGGAGGGGAATTCATTGAATGTGATTAATTGGTGTAAAAAGATGTTTAAGCCACCTTGGAGGTTGAGGAGGAAATAGCGATACTATGGATATGTACGAGGGTCTACAAATCTGTTTTCAGCATGTGCATAGGGAAGCTAATGACATTGCTGACCAGCTGGGCAAAACGAGGGGTGTCTTTGCATCAAGTAGTTATTTTGGATGTTTTCATTTCTGACTGATTGTAGCCTTTGATTGATTAATAAAGCATAAGTAACATTGTCAAAAAAAAAAAAAAAGTCTTACCATTTTCTTTCAAGAGAAAAATCCCTTTACCGTTCGGATGGAAAAAACCAAATAAATCAAATAAAATAAGACACTCGTGAAAGTTTTAGGGATGTTTTGGTTATCTTATTTTTTAGAAAATATTTTTAAACCTTTTTATAGTTGCATTATATTTAATTGTATAAATGCCTAAAATTTCAGCTCCGTCTACTATTTATAAAATAAAATAAAATTGAAATACTCTAACATATTCTAGACCGTCCAATCGAGATCTAAGGGTTGAGATGATAGCATTTTTAATGAACTAACATGCTGAATTTCTGTAGTGTTTTGGTCATTCTAATTTTATAAACTATATTTTATGGGATTGGAACCATTTATCTGTTGTACATTTTAGTGCTGTTTGTGGGTTCCAGGTCCTAACCTTTATGCCCTGTACTTTCTTTCAAGAATTTTTCTAATTCACAATTCTCTAGTTTAATTGAAAACTAGTACTCGGGTTGAGGAAAATTAGTAGCAATTAAGTGGCAAGAAAGTCGAGAGAAACTGACAAAGCTGAAAGGTTGGCGGTTGAGGGTCGGACCACTAGCAACGCATGGCCGTCGCCTCAAAGTCTTGGTAGTTAAGGACCAGTGAAACCAAGGTGAACCAGCAACAACTGGCCACGCCTCGAAGCACTACCAGTTAAGGGTTGGAGTAACATACATTCAGGTGAATAATTATTCACTTTCTGAACACTAGTATCTCATTCTTTGCTGGTCTTTTGTTCCTCGAAAAATAGGATGAACCAAAGAGGAGTTACTGTAGACCATGAACGTATAATCCAAAAATATATAAACCCGAACCACTAGACTTACCTAAATCAGTCAAGTATACCAAAAATTCAACCAAGGGCGCTAAAAAATAGACAGCAAAAAAACCTGAAAAGGGAGTCCGAACTAGGTATAGACTACCATTGGATTGCAGCCTATGGACATGGGCCCCGATGGCCTAGTGAGGCATATCATGTTGCTAAAGGCTCTAGGCTTCATCATCCCTTTAACTTTCGTGGAGCTCCCAAAAGTTTTGTGTTGACTTCCAACCACTTTTTGTGTTTATCTAAAAACATTAGTTATGTTCTGAAATTGGGTTTTCTAAAAACAGACTTAATCCTATCAACCCCATAAATCCTAAAACCGTTGGAAATGGGATTTCTATTCCTAAGGAGCCAATTGAAGCCTATATAAACCCCATCTCTAATGCCTTTTAGAAGAAAACCTTATATTCATAGTTTATATCTTAGATTCTAGATAAAACCCGTAAACTAGAGGAAAAACCTAGAACTTAGGTCGTCACTGATCTTTGGCCCTTCAAACCTTAGAAAATCTAAGTTATTAGACCTTCAATTCCATGCAGTCATGGCAGCCATAAAACTCTAATACCAAAACTTTGCCTTAGGAGGACGATTACCTAAGCAAACTCTAAATTAGAAAACCTTAAGATAAACATGTCTCAAGCAATCAAACCCTAGCAAACTTCTCAAATTCAAGAAAATATCTAGGGTTGAAGATGGACTTCTCGTCTAATCCAGGCCCAAAATTTCGAGTGCAATGCCAGAGTTCCTGACTTCCAAGTAAATAATTCTGATCTCTTTTTTTTTTTTTTCTTCAGTTTTTTTTGTTTTTTGTTTCAGTTTTCTTGATTTTCTTATGGTTTTTATGCGATATCACCTAGGGTATGAGGAGAAGATATGTTCCCACAAATCTAACTTTCCATATATTGTAATTCGATAGACCCTACTCTTTTCTACCGAATTTTTATTGATTAATTCTAAAGCATAAAAATCAGAGGTTCCATCTGAGAACTTCCCGGATTTGGCTACAAAACAAAATTTATTTTCATGTCCTTAGAATTTACCCCATTGGCTTTATTGAAATTTTAGGGATATGTTTAGGTAAATGACATACTTATTGAAACTTTGGGTTTACCTAATTTTAGTTTGCCACATCCGAATAAAATATTAAAAATTAATTTGAAAAACTAAAAAGACCAAACTATGCCTAAAAATGGTGGCAGTTTGGTCATTTTTTACGGATCAATTGTTTTTTTTTTTGAGATTTTTATTTGGATGCACCTTGATGAAATACATAACCCTAATTTTTATGTCATTTTTCTTTTTATAAAAAATAAAAATAAAACTCTATCACAAAATACAAGGCATCCGATCGACCCATACTCAACGTAGGCCATTGAGTGTTCATGTAGACAAAAGCTAGCTTGCATGTGCAAGGGATGGTCGATGGACCACTTATACTACATAAAACGCTAACAGTAGGTCAACTCCACCTTCACCTGCTAGATGAAGAGGGATGGTGGATGGACATAAGCAACGACCATGTGGGTGTATGAAATTGAAAAGAAGGCACAACTAGGGGCGGCAATGGACCTGACGGGTATACCCAACCTGGGGTTTAGGTAAGTATTCGGTCTAGGTACGGGTCCGGTCGGACCTGACCCATACCTGAACCATATCCATGGTCATAGGATATATGATGGTAATCATGTGTCTTTAGGCATGCTAGGTACAATATTGGCAACATTCATAGTATTATTGGCAAAAATAAATAAAGTTCATAATCATAGGATGGCAATGGATCGGACTAAACCTAGAACCCGACGGTAGACCTAAGACCCGACTTGTTTCCACCCCTAGGCACAACTCAGCTCATCTCCACCCTCCGATCCATGATGCTCCACGCCAAAGGTGCACTGCATACCCAGTCCCCAGGTGTGCTCATACTGGAGCATCAAATCTTTGGCAATATACCTATAATAATGAAAAGTGGATAGGAGCTACATACCGAGGTAGGGGTGGCTCATCTATCATCTCACCTATTGATATGAGGCTTCCAACCAAGCTCACCTAACACAATTTCTCTGCCCCACCTTTCACATCACCCTTTCCCCAAATGGCCCAGTTTAATGATAAAAATGTGATAAAACATCACAAATTCTCCTCATTCAATCTTCTCATAAACTTTCCAATGCCATTAAATTGGAAAAGGTCATGTACATTTGGTTCGCATGAAAATATTTTTTAAAATTATTTTTACATGAAAGAAAATACAAAGTTATGTGTAGAAATATTTTTATTATCAATTAATATAAAAATATTCTTACACTTGACTGTATGAAACATTTTTGTTTTTTGTAAAATTATTTTCACATAAACCAGAAGTATATGGTTATAAATATCCATGTAATCTTTCCATGAGATTGTACAACTAACCAAATGTGTGCAGCGGTTGTAGTGATGGGGGCTAGAGAGAGGAGTATTAAAGTGATTTGGCGAGAGAGAGACATAAACTTCTTTGAAGCTGAAATTATTGATGTAAAGTTTTGGAATACTTGTTTGATGAAGTTTTAAGGAGTATGAAAGTTTTGGTTTCAAATATTGGGAAGTCTAAACATATGTCTGGATTTTGAAAACCTCCAAAATTTTTTAGTAGTAGTTGTGGGATAGATTAGTAAATAAGGATTATTTTAGTAATAATAATTTTGAAAAGAAAGAAGTTTATATAAAATATCAACTTTATATTGTAGAAATAAGGTGCATATCATAAATCCATTGTAAAAATATTGTTTTGACATTAAAAAAAACCCTATAATTCATATATATATATATATATATATATATATTCTTAAAACTCGGTAATCTGGTATCAAGTTATTTAGACCCTCTATTATATATATATATATATATATTCTTAAAACTAGTTAATCTTGTAACAAGTTATTTAGACCTTCTATTTTCAAAAATTTTAATTGTTCATAAAGATATGCATGATGCACAACATTCTTGCCGCTTTAAATTTTATAATTAGAAATTAAAATAGATTTTTAGATTATCGTCAACTTTAGGATAACAAAATTGCTATCTTTTTATAAGATTTGAAGGCCATTACTTACTGGGGTGCGGTTTGTATAGAGCCAAGGCTCTAAACAATCAAATTAGAGCCTACTGTCAAATAGTATCGAGAAATATGGTTTCAATGTTGAAAATCTTTGTGATAACTTTAAAATATATTTTTATCTTTAATTAAAAAGTTTAAAGCTTAAAAAATAGTATAGATCCAGCAGATCTACGAAAACTTGAAAATCTTGAAAATAGGCAATCCAAAAATGCGTTATAAGATATACTATTTCCAAAACTTGAAATCTATTTTCTTATCATGTATGAGGATATTTACGCATCAAAACAACCTCTTCTATTGAAATTTTTGAGGTAGGCTCTAACTTGATTGTTTAGAGCCTAGGCTCGATATAAACTTTTACCTTACTTTAATTGTTAAAGGTTGCTGGCTGCTAGGGCCACGACCTTTGAAACATTAAAACCATTTCAAGATTGAAAATATTTCACGAATTACTCGTAATCCAGTGACAATGGCCATTAAACAATTCTCGACTTGTGCTCTTTCCTGAACTATTCATTTACCTCTGCTAAAAAGGCTGCCATCAGCCAATCTCTTGACTCCTAAAAGAGAAATCTTCTGAAATCTCAAATGGGTCAACAGGATAGCCATAGAAGAGACAATCATGGATACCTCCCAATAAAGAAAAGGAGGTCAATCATTTTCATGGTGGGGCGAGGCCGTTGCCCCATCGCTTTTGGGCAGGGGACAACCAGCGGAGAGTGAGTTGGGGCGATGGTTACGCCCCATTTCAGTGAATTCATTTTTTGTTTTATAAGGCGAGCTATGACCCACTATTCTTTTGCTTGCTTTTGACCTTTCTCCCAATTCACCCACCCCACAAACCCCTTCTCTCTCTCTCTAAAACCCCATTCTCTCTCTCCCCCATATGCCCAATATCCATTGCCGCTTCTATCAGGTAAAGCCTTACTTAATGTTTTCCTTTTCCTTTTTGATTATTAATTTTGGTGAGTTTATGTTCCTATGAAGCGTATGTTGCGGAATGTATGTCTTTGCTTTGAACGGGTTTCTCTCTCATGATTAGAACTCTCAAGAGGTGTTTTAACTGTGAAGCCGGGTTTGACTGTTTCTGAGGAGGCAGCCGTGTGGAAATTGTCATGTATCTGTTTGTGATCAATTTTTAGTTGATGAATTCTCTTTTCATTTATATGTGTTTTCTTGTGTCTGTTTGTCTCTTTGCCTGTGTTGTGATGGTTGTTAATTTGGGTATGATGTGGTAAATAGGTCCTTTTTTATTTTATAGTTTGAAGTTATGTACTATGGTCATCTTTTATAGCAGTGATTGGGCTGTTCTGTAATCCATCACCAGATATATTTAGTTAGTTGAAATGGATAGTAGGATTCCTTTCAGTTGGAGAAACCGGGGAATGCGTTAGAATTTAGATCTAGATATCTAACTCCAAGTTCAAGGATGCATTTAAATAGCTCTTTCTTGAAATAAAAAATAAAAATGTGAGCAGCTTAGAAAAGCCTATTTGTGGCATAAAATCGGCGAACAAAAAAAAAAATTGCTTGGCACTGCTGCTAGTTCAGCCTCTTGAAATTTCTGGAAGGGTTCTCCCTCTCTCTCTCTCTCTCTCTCTCACATACGTCCACATGCACAGAGACTAATCAGGATTGCAATCACAAATTTTAAATATGCATATAGTGGAATAAGTGTAACTCCTTGTGATGGACTCTAATCATTCACAATATGTTAGTAATAATTTTTGCGTCTCTATAAACAGCTTTGTAGTGATCAGCAATCTGAATTTCATCAGTGATTTAATCATTATCATCATTAGAGCTTTTTCCCAACTATTTGGAATCGGTAATACGAATCCTGGTCTGCCTGCTCTATTAAGGGCCAGACCATATTTCAAATGCTTTAAAATTTAAATAATACGCTTTTTCCATGTGGTAACCTGCTTTTAATAATATGCTTTTTTCAATGAAACATAGATATTTCCAAGATAATTATTGGAAAAAAAGGATATTTCTATGTGAATATCCCTTCTTGTTATAAACTTATTGTACATGTCAAGAACTCTAGAATTCTTCACTGGTTGTATCACCAATTTTACCACTTTTGAATTGGCAATACCATGAATGCTTTTCCAGATTTAATGTAGTTACTGAAACATATAACATCCATGCCTAAAGAAAAGTGTAGTTCTCAAAATCTTGAGCATTTCAATAATGCTAGGATGCTTGCCAAGTCACAATATCAGTTGTATCAAAAGAGTGGCATCTCGAGGGGAGCTACCATCTGGTGATTCATGTTAATGAGGTATTTACAATAGACACCATTTCTTTTGTACTTCTTACAAGTACCTTAGTAAACATCCCCAAGCTGGCCAATAGGCTTGAAGTCCTTGGTGTCACATTAACACTCACTTCTTAGGATAATCGATATGAAAGGTAGAATAAAACCGTTGACCTGGTGAAATTCTCTTATAATGGCTAAGCATTCCTTTTCCTAGCACTATTCAGTCTATTAAAGAATTTGGTGTATCAATGTACTGCTCTAAGCTAGAGCATTAAAGATTTCTACCTCCCACAAATTCATTTCACCTTTGAATATTTTGGTATTCCATCTTGAATGGAATGTTTTCCAGTTTTCTATCCCAAAGGGTCATAATCTTTCCTTTTGTCAATCTCTCCACAAAGAAAGTGTTCTATTCAACATATGCTTGTTCGAAAGATCATGTGTGCATGCATGTTTATGTGCGTTCAAATATGTATACACACATTATAATTATTGCTAGATTAAGTGAAAACAGGTACTTCTGCAAGTATTTCATTTAGATTGTCTTATGAAGCTTTACATCCTTATCTGAACTATTACCGTTGGTTTAAGAAATTTTATCTTATGGCATTTTGATTGAACTTTTGAAAATTCTATTATTGCAGCTGGTTAACAATCAGTATCTTATGCCCATGGTGCTTGTGCTTTCCCATATTAAGGCAATACAAAATGGGATATTTTATCCATGTTGTAGCCTTAGCTAACATTACATCTGCTGTTCGAAGTGGCAGGTTTCATTGAAGTAACACAAAATTAGAAAATTTTATTGGAGAATGGGTGGTGATTGGCTAAAGACAGCTATTGGCCTGGGAAAGCCATTGAAGGAATCGAAACCAGGAGAGCAAGTAAAGGTAACTCTGAATGCTCTTCCTGAAAGCATCTCTGGTTCTTATTTTTATGCATGTCATAAGTAGAGCAACTTAGCTCTAATGCTTGTTTTTTACCAGGATGATGTTAAACTATTAACTCCCCACTGAAACAAAAGCGTCGTGTATTTTCTGTTTTTTATACAAGTTATTTTGAAAATACTGAAAAGTTGATATATTGTTTGGAACTTTAATTTTCATTCTTCTTTGCTAACTATTAAAAACTTGAAAAAAAGTGAAAAGAAGACTTTGTCAAAAGCTCGACTTAAAGTTGTTCTTGAAAAGAAGCTGTGTCCAAGTTGATACTCAACTGGTAGCAGCTTTATTAATTTCTAGTACTTCCTATTTCGTGTATTGCTAAATTTGGCTTCAGTATTTGAGTGTGGATCTTTTATCGACTCAGAAATAGATATGTGCTTTAAACTTTGAATTTTATATGGGGACTATGTTCATGGAGCCTCATGTTCCTTAAGTGTAACAACTGAGGGTTTGTTTGGATGACAATTAATTTTATCTGGTATTGAATGTAGTCTATCTTATTTGAAATTAACACAGTTTAAATAATATTATGAGGCTTATGGTTATGGATGTTTACATAAATAGATGGAAGAGGAGTGAAATTAATAGTGTCCAAGAACTAGGAGTGGAATTTAGAAAGGGAGAAAATAGACTTATTTAGGAATAAATTGAAGAAAGAAGGAGATGGAATATGGAATTCTGAGGACGCAGTTAATGTTATGTGAAATGAGATAACTGATTATATGAAAAAACTGACAAGAAAAGTTTTAGGAGAATCTAGAGGGAAAAGGTATTCAGATAAAAAAATTTGGTGGTGGAGTGATGAGGTTGAAAATGCTATTAGTGAAAAACGATCATGTTACAAAGTTCGTCAATGGAATAGAAATAATCAAAGCTTAGAAGAATATAAATATCCCCAAAATAACATTAAGAAAATAGTAAGTAAAATTAAGCTTAAAGCATATGATGATTTATACAATAAATTGGAGACAATAGAAGGTGAAAAAGATGTCTTCAAACTAGTAAAACTGAGAGAGGTATGGATCTAAATTATTTTAAATGCATTAAGAGCGAGGATCGGAGGGTCTTGGTGAAGGATGATGAGTTCAATGAAAGACAGAGAATTTATTTTCAAAATATTGTACTTTAGGAGCACAACTTTAAGAGGAACCTTTGACATAAATGAGGTCGGAGGTTATAGATATATTCTTCGGATTAGGATATTTGAAGTGAAAGAAGCTTTGAGAAAGACGAAGATAGGAAAGGTTTTATTGAGAAGTTTAGGGAGAAGAGAAAAGACCTCTCTACATGGTCTTTATTGATTTAAAGAAAGCATATAATAGGGTAGAGAGTCAATTTGGTGGGTGTTGGAAAAGAAACGTGTCTCTAGAAGATATATTGACAAGGTGAGAGGTTATACGAAGGAACACTAACTAGTGTGAGTATAACTAGATGAGAGTTTTCAGTGACAGTAGGCCTCATCAGGGGTTAGTGTTGAGCCCATATATTTTTGTTTTAGTTATGGACGGGTTAACTACTCATCTATAGGATGAGGTACTATGGTAGTATTGGTTGCAGATGACATAGATTTGATTGATGAGTCCTACGAGGAAGTCAACACAAAGTTAAACTTTGGAGGTATGCTCTAGAATCTAAGGGTTTTAAAAATAGCCGGATTAAGAAAGAATAAATAGAATATAAGTTTAATAATAATAGGAGTAGAAATGAGGAATTAGTTAAGATTGATGGTCAAGAATTACCTAAAAGCGATTATTTTCGATATCTTAAGTTGATAATCTATGAGAATTGAGAGATTGAGTAAGATGTCATGCATGAAATTAGAGCTGATGGATGAAATGGAAATTGCGGGGTTTTGTGGCCTTTAAATGCCTAGAGAGCTTCTAAAATGATACTTTATAGTAGAATATGCATTTCAGTGGGAGTGTGTGTGTTGACTGACTATGGATTAGGCGGTTTATGGCCCTGGTTATGTCCAAAACCTTTACCCTTGGGTATGTGACACAACCAAGAATTTTTACAGTTAGTCATCCCTTGTTGAGGTCAGATAGATACCCAGGGATGATGTTTGTAGGCAGTGTTTCAAAAAGCGCTAGGAGGGTCCTAGGCGGCCTAAGGGGTCCAGGCCGCCCAGCGCCTAGGCGGGTGCCCAGAACCTGGGTGGCCTAGTTGAATCCAAATAAGGATTCTGCAGTGCAGTTATGTCAGTATCAGTTATATGTATTACAATACATAATTCAAATTATAATACATATTAGCATTTAACACATACTCCATAAACATAACCATAATCCATAAGTTGGTTCATACTCCATATCCAATTAAAACTTAAAATTTACAACCAACCAAATTATCAAACCAAGTTATCAAATAGTATCAGTACTGCAGTACACCACCATGAGGAAGAAAACAAAATTGAATTATGAAACTATGAAAGTAATACTTGAAGACTCAAAAGAATCTTCAATAGTTCAATACACAATACTTCAATCAAAGTTCAAGCTTCAAAGTTTAATAATTATTCAATAATCAACATTCATCATTCATTCATCATCAGAAAATCTTGGGTCAGTTGCATTAGCATCATATTCATTTGAGTCGACGAAGTTGTCACCCTCCTCGACATATTGGTCATCTCCGTTCTCCTCCGTCTCTTCTGAATCAGCCTCTCCTTTCTCCTCTTCTTCCATCCTTGTTCTCTGTGCAGAAGATCTAGTGGCCCTAGGAGGGTCAGCTGATGTCCCTAAAGCATCCATGACCATGTCCCATGTCCCATGTCAATACTTCATGCCCCTCAGCCTCATCATCATCAACTAACCACTCCATAGTATGGTCCATACTTTTTGATTTGATGGGGTCTCTCTTATCTCTCCTAGCAAACCTATCCTTCAAGAATCGATTGTACTTGACATAGACTAGGTCATTGAGCCTCTCTGATTCAAGCCTATTCCTTTTCTTTGTATGAATCTAACAAAATCAAATGAAACTAATTAAAATCTAATATCGATATCTAATATCGATGGTTCATGTATTATTTATAAAATTACCCTTGCGGCCTTACTCCTCAAAAGTACTCCAATTGTGTTCACAACCGGATGAAGAAGTGGTTAGGTTTAAGATCCGAATGGCCAACTTTTGTAAATTTGGAGAACTAAACCCACGTTGGGTCCACCAATGGGCTGCAAAGATATAAAATAAAATCATAAATAAATAATAGAATTACTTGATTACTTGAACTTGATGAACTTAAGAATATTATTAATATTTGGATCAATTTTGGCCCTTTGCCTCATCGCCATTGAACTTCCAAAAGACTTTAATGAACACTTGTAATTTATCAGCTCATCAACGCATATAATATCCTGCATAACAGGATCAGAGACTAGTACCTCTACACACTCATTAAATCCATTCATAATTGTGCCATTTGTTTGTATATCATTGTCAATATAAAAAAAAGCTGGGTTCAAATAATAACCAGCTGCATGCAATGACCGATGTAGCTGCCTATCCCACTTTTCATCAATAATCGCAAAAATAGGCTTGTAGCGGGTTTCTTCATCATTGAAATTTTGGGTTATCTCTCTTTTGCATTTCTCCATGGCATCATATATGTAGCCCATAGAAGGCTTGTCACTATCAACCATGCGAAGGACTTTGACAAGAGGAAAAAATACCTTAAAAACGCCTTTCACCCCTCTCCAAAAAGCCTTAGAAAGTATAATATCTCTCACTTTCTTCCCAACGTGATCCTTATACCACTTCATGCTCTTCACTCATCTGAGATAAACATTTGCCTCAACTGCATTTCTTCGAATGTATGCTATCTAGGCATAAGTATTAGGTAGCAAATCTCGTGACCCCTGACCTCACAATCTCTTTCTTCTTTATAAAGGTACGCATTGTGTTGAGGGTGAGGTGGTGGTTATAAATGAAATTTGTAACTAACTTGGCATTCTTCACTGCACCTAATATCTCGGTTAATCCGCCAAGAGCCTCAAGCATGAGGTCTATACAATGTGCTGCGCATGGTGTCCCAAAGATTCTAGGATAAGTTAAGCACAACAAATTAGATGCA